TGACATTTGACTCGTTTCATTAGCCCATGCATAAACATCTGATGAATCTGCCTTTTGAACAAATCATTTGAATGAACGACTTAATGACTCACTCATTAAACGCTCACTACAGGCACCAACTGGTGTTTTAATTTAGTTGAAAAGTATCATTTACACCATAATTTCTTGTTTGTATATTAAAAAATATTTAAGATAATCTCATAATAATTATTTAATGCAGTTGTATTTTTCAGTGTCAATTGAATTTATAGATCAAATGTAAGAATTTGAAATGGAAGTATTAATGAGATTAGTGAGAATAGAATAAATCATTTGCACAAAAAACAAAACACACACACACACACATATATATATATATACACACATATATATACAGTATATATAAGCTCAATACCATAGAGCCCCCCCCCCCACACACACACACACAAAACAAATCCCAATTTAACCCCTGCATAAAACAATAAATAAGATTTATATTCCACTTTTACTCAAAACTCACTTTAAACCACCATCAATTTTTCCGATTGCCGTGTGTGTTTTGGCCATGTATTGTTGATGAAATTAAATATATATATAACCTCTGACTGCTAATGCTTATCAGTAAATCAGTGGAAATGAATAGAAATGAAGATTCTGTCTGAGCTAGGCGTTTTAAAACAAACACGCACTAGTGTAAATGTAGCTAACAGATGTGTAAACTGAAGACTATTTGAGCTTTATTAAAACTATTTGCACTGATTTTTTGTTAGTTACATTTTGTTCCTTTGTGCAGTGCCTCAGGAGCTCAACAAGCTGAAAAATAAAACCAAAGTTTTTTTTTTAGATAATGTAATCTTGTTCAAATAGATTTCATGAAATTGGTATCAAAAAAAGTATCGTTCAGGAACCGGTATCGAAGTCAAGGTATCAGTATCGGTATCGATACCAAAAATGTTTGAACGATACCCAGCCCTAGTGACGGCCCTGGCTCCCTGGAAGGACCTACAGTGGTTCAAGCAGGGCGTGACTATGGGGTTGGTTTACAGAAGGAAAGTTGTCTCGACAGACGCATCCAACACAGGTTGGGGAGCTCTGTGCGACGGCAGGCCGACCTTCGGCTCCTGGACGATCGCGGAAGGCCAGCAACACATCAACTGCCTCAAACTGACGGCAGTATGTTGAGCTCTTCAGGCCTTCTTGCCAGTCCTGAAGGGACACCACGTGCTAGTCCAATGGCCCAACCTCCTCCTGCATGCTTTTCCCCCGATCACAGGGGTTAAAGCAAAAAAAAAAATCTTTGGACTGAAAATTTTTCCTCAGCCAAACCCTATTCCACAGCCATACCTGTCACACACCCAGATTAAGAGCAGTTTTTTTCTTCTTGTAATTAGGAGTGCTTGTCCTCCTAATTTAAAAAATGTAGGAGCACCTTTTGATCAATAATAAAAAATTATTATCAAAAATTAGCCTTCCTAATATGAGGTGACAGTTGACTCAAAGTGATTTCAGGGGTATTTTCTTTTTAGCTTTGTAATGGCATTTTTCTAATTTTATTAAATGTATGCAGTGTTTCCTAGGATTTTTTTCCAGCTGTGGTGGCAGGACTATTTCTCATGGACCACGCCCCCTCCCTTCCCCACCAAAGAATCATGTGTACTCAGAATTGAATTTATTTTAACTAAAAAAGACAAGTAAATAGTAAATAATAAAATAAGAACAAATAAATTAATGACAATCAATAGCAAGATACAAATTAAATTAATAGTATTTAAATTTTTTCAGTTAGGTCTAACTATAATCTATTCAACTGTAAAATAACACTAGATAGTCTTCACTGTATAATGAAAGGCAGCAGGAGGTTTATTTAGGCTGCTGTCTCTTTAAGATGGATCTAATATACTGTTACACATGGCTCTACCTGTTTTTATACAGTCTATGAGCTCTACGCTTACTTTTCTTTTTAGAGAAGAAATGCTTGTCCTCCTAATTTAAAAAATTTAGGAGCATGATCAATAATCAAAAATTCTGATAAAAAATTATCCTACCTAATACGAGGTGACATTTGACTCCTTAAAGTGACTTGCAGGGGTATTTTCTTTTTACCTTTGTAATGGCTTCATTTTCATCTGTCAAATTCAAAAATGTATATTTATAAGCTTTTTAAAATTTCTATTTAAAACAGTATAATAAGAAGTAGAACAAGACATAAGTTACCAATCATATGAAATTTGTATTAATAAAAAATTAATTTGTACAGAGGTGGCACAGAAGAACACAAAAGTGGCTTGTCGGTACATTTTCAGACGTTTAATGAGGCTCAGAGGTGGCATGAGTGCAATCAAATTCATACATTCATGTGGAGATTAATGTTTTAAATATAAAATTTTGAATACAGAAATATTAAACGATTTAAATAACTGAAATTATACACTAAAAATGAAACTAAACCCGCCAGCAGGTGGCGGCAAGTCACTGATTTTATCACTGAATCATTCATTCAATTGATTCGTTCAAACTGCTGATTCATTCAGGAATGAAGCAAGTGACTGTCTTTATGAATGGGTAATCATTAATCACTGACTCACTAGATTTGTTCAAAAATGCACTTTCATTGAATGAATGAAACTCAGCTGTGTTTGCTTTTAGAGATGCGCAGCGGCTGAGCTGTTACTATATTTGGAACTATTTTCGTTGAAGAAATAGAGCAAAATCAGGCAGTACTTGTTTATTGAACTGTTGTATTAAATGAATATCACATTTGCAAACTCCCTTAATAACTATTAAATGTTGTCACTTTCCTTATCGCGATCTGTGGGCGCACAGAAAATGAGAGCGCGCGAGTGAGTTCTCAAGACTCAAAAGCATGTGCAAATGATACGTTCCGTCATCTGTCATCGCATTGTAAGCACGAAATCTGCGGGAATAAGACAAAGTCCCCATTCTATAGTCTTTGGAATTAGTACAGTTGTTATTAATAGCTGCAATCCCGCGCCCGCAATCTGCTCTGTGTTCTCTGCTAATAACCCGACTGTGAATGATGTGAGCGGCATCACTATGTTGTCACTGAGAAGCTGCAGGATGATTTTTGGTGTGCCGGCAGAACAGCAACAACAGCGAGCTACATCTTTCTTTTCCCCTCATTTTTTCCAATTGACGGAAATCCGTCGTAGCGACGGAGAACTTAAATCCTTGCGATCGTCCTGATCCCCCAGGAAATCAGGCGAGTCAGGGAGCACAGGCACAGTGTGCTTCTGGTGGCCCTTCTCTGGAAGAACCATCTCTGGATCTCAGAGCTGTCTCAGCTGATGACGGCAGCTCCGTGGCCCATTCCCCTGAGGCAGGACCTCCTTTCTCAGGCGAACAGAACAATCTGGCACCCCCAGCCCAAGCTGTGGGCACTGCACTTATGGGCTCTCAACGGGAATCAGTAGATCTCCCAGAGAGCGTCCTGACTATTATCTCACAGGCTAGAACCCCATCTACGAGACGCCTCTATGCCCTTAAGTGGTCGATTTTCTCCGCCTGGTGCGAAACCCACAGTGAGGACCCAATAGCAAGTGACATATCGGTGATATTGTCCTACTTACAAGAGCTGTTGGACAAGGGCCGCTCCCCTTCCACGCTCAAAGTCTATGTGGCAGCTATAGCAACTTCTCACGCTCCTATAGCCGGACAGTCGGTGGGCCTGAACTTCAGTTTCCTGAAGGGATCCAGGAGGCTCCATCTGCCCCGGCCCCTCACGGTCCCTACATGGGATCTACCCACGGTCCTGAGAGCCCTCAAAGGCTCCCCCTTTGAGCCACTCCAGTCTGCGAGCTTAAAAACGCTGTCGCTGAAGACCGCTCTGCTGCTGGCACTAGCATCGGTTAAGCGAGTATGTGACTTGCAGGCTCTCTCGATAAGCCCTGTCTGTCTTGAGTTTGGGCCTAACGACTCCAAAGTCATCCTAAAGCCAAGACATGGGTATGTCCCTAAAGTGCTCTATATGTCGTTTAGAGCCCAGGTTATTACTTTCTCTGCGCTTCCTCCTTCTGAGGAGGACCAGGAGTTTAACCTTCTCTGCCCAGTTAGGGCATTGAGAATTTACATAGAGTGTTCCGCCCCCTTCAGGCAGTCGGAACAACTCTTCGTATGCTTTGGCGGCCGCACCAAAAAGTCCACGGTCACAAAGCAGAGGATCTCTCAATGGTTAGTTGACGCTATCACACTAGCTTACTCCTCCCTGGGCCTTCAGAGTCCCATAGGAGTGAGAGCCCATTCCACTCGAGGTGTTGCCTCTTCCTGGGCGTGGTCTAGTGGTGTGTCCATAGCAGACATCTGTGCGGCGGCCGGCTGTGCCTCGCCGTCCACCTTTGCCAGGTTCTATAACTTGGATTTTCTGGCCTTGCAGGCCTGGATTTTATCTGCTTAAAGTGGCACACACCTGTCTAGGCGGTCTACGTCTCAGGCTCTGCCTGACTCTTCAGGAACGCTCTTGGCCCTATTACTAGTGCTGAGGCTGTACATACGGCCGTTGGAACGATTATCTGAAGGCTGACCTCAATGAGTTCAGCCCTCTTGCCTCCTGCAGGGCTCACCCTGCGCATAATTGGTCCCTTTTTCGCTCAAGGCCAGTTCATATCAGTCGTTCCTCTCTCATGGAACGGGGGGATTGTATTGGTTCCCCATAAGCGTCTAGCACCACAGTACGAGTGAAGTATCGATAGGGAACGTACTCGGTTACTTCCGTAACCTTGGTTCCCTGAGATACAGGAATGAGTACTGCGTTCCTTGCCGTGCCATGACGCTGCACGACTCGGTGTCGTCGCTTCAGTCGAATTGACCTGAGATCTTATGGCGAAATGTCTGCTTATATAGCCAGATGGCCCCGCCCATTCTGGCGGGCTCACGCGGGCTTCGCTGCCGAGCCATTGGTTCGTTTTATAATTACTGCACGAACCAATGGCCGTGCAGTTACACTGTGTGATTGAATACGTCTTCAGTCCTCGGAGAAAAAGGAGTACATTTCCTTTTTCACTCACCTGTCACTGTGAGGTGAGTCCCGCAGGGAATCGTAAGAGTCTCCGTACTGTAGGGGGCACTGTGTAGCATCAGGATAACCACAGTATGCAGCACGGCGGGCACGAGCCTCCATACACGCCGGGCTGCTGCATTTACTGGTGCCAACGGAGGAAGAGATCGCCCCCGACTGACAGTCAGAGTGCATGCTGTCCGTCCCCTCCATACTCCATGTGCGCTCCTCATGCCTGAAAGCAACATGAAGGGAAGTATAAAAATGTGAGAAACATATTCAAGGCATATAAAAAAATGTATAGAAAATGTTTGGGGCCAGAACTAATTTTTATTTTAAAAGAGATTTATACCTTTATTTAACAGGGATGCAATAAATTGATTAGACGTAAAATCATTTATAATGTTAGATTTCTATTTCAAATATATACAAAAAAAAACAAAACAATGTTTTATCGGTCAAAGTCCCCCCCCCCCCCCCCACACACAAAAAAAAACAGGTTTTTGACAAAAAGTGTTTTCCACAACTGTTTTCAACAATAATGGTATATTATTGTTTTAAAGCAGCAAATCAGCATATTAGAATGATTTCTGAAGGATCATGTGACACTGAAAACTTCAATGATGGCAAAGATGGCAAAATTCAGCTTTGCCATCACAGGAATAAATTACATTTTTAAATATATTAAAACAGAAAACAGTTATGTTAAACTGTAATAGTATTTGACAATATTACTACTTTTGCTGTATTTTTGAACAAATAAATGCAGCCATTAAAAAACAACCTCACACATTATGTATACAGGTGCATCTCAATAAATTAGAATGTCGTGTAAAAGTTAATTTATTTCAGTAATTCAACTCAAATTGTGAAACTCGTGTATTAAATAAATTCAATGCACAGAGACTGAAGTAGTTTAAGTCTTTGGTTCTTTTAATTGTGATGATTTTGGCTCACATTTAACAAAAACTCACCAATTCTCTATCTCAACAAATTAGAATACTTCATAAGACCAATAAAAAAACATTTTTAGTGAATTGTTGGCCTTCTGGAAAGTATGTTCATTTACTGTACATGTACTCAAATGCTTGGTAGGGGCTCCTTTTGCTTTAATTACTGCCTCAATTCGGCGTGGCATGGAGGTGATCAGTTTGTGGCACTGCTCAGGTGGTATGGAAGCCCAGGTTTCTTTGACAGTGGCCTTCAGCTCATCTGCATTTTTTGGTCTCTTGTTTCTCATTTTCCTCTTGACAATACCCCATAGATTCTCTATGGGG